TTTTTACAGTCTATGGTTTGAATCCGGACCGAATGATGTCGTCACTTCCGCGACAGATTAGTCAAATTACAAATAATATGAAGTTAAATTGTCTAATAATTGTAGTTCTTTAAACTGATTGCTATTCATAGTTTATTCTCAAAAATATCGATGAAACATACAGTAATTATAAAAATATTTAAACAATGTAATCTGTCAGTCAGTCATACTTTTTTTAATTAAATAAACTTACTTTATATATTTACATTTCACACAAAGATTTCTGTTTCATTTTTACTCATACATTTTGATATAGTAACCCAAATACTCATCATAATGATGTTCAGTCATATTTTTCAAGCAATAATCCTTTATATTACTTTACATTTACTAAGCCCTTGAAATATTTTTGAGAGCGAACCAAAGCTTAACCCAACCCAAACCAAAAATGATGAACAGGTGAAGCAGGCTCATCCAGACAACTTCTCACTGAGGTAAACTGGCAACTGGCCATGTAATGCTTGTAAGTCATGAATACGATTTACAAATGGATCTAAGAAACCTGAAGGCCGCAGCCTTTGATGAATAACTACTGAGTGACCCATCAATACCAGTAAAAATGTTTCAAATGTGTTTTCTCTAATGAAAAATACGAGATAATTAAAATATTTAATCAGAGTTTGTGAAGTTATTGATACAACTACATAATACTTAATTTAACTTAATCATTTTGTATTGATTTCATTTCAAACATGTAAATATCAATCGTTCTGTAAATGGCACTCGTCATATTCTGTATTCTGTGATGTTTCTTTGTTTTCCAGCTTAAAAAATGACGACACGTAGGATGCTGTCTAAAACATTGGAACATTTGAGTTCTGGGAGCTTGAGGATTTCTGCCTACTTGTTGAATTGGAGAAAGGTGTCCCCTCCTCTCAGAACTCGATCTAAAATCAATATGCCCAGAGAAAATAGAGGAGCTGATGGTGAAGAGATACAGCGAGGAGGAGTGTGTGAAGTTGACCAGAAATATCTTAAAGAAGATGAACAGGACTGATCTCGTGAAGAGATTGCTTGCGACAGACGGGAGCCGAAGTGAGACAAACACAAAGTCTTCACACAACACAATCAAGGCATTTTAAAAGTTCTATATTTCAATTAATGAGGAAAGCAAAACGTCACTTTACAAAAAGAGCAGGTAAATATCTTACTCTTTGTTATATTATCTACAAAGCCCAACATTAATCCATCACGAGCACCAAGAAACATTTACTGCTCTGTGTGCCTTTGAATTGTCCCCGGGATAAAATAAAGTTTTTGAATTGAATTGAATTAGCAAATTACAGTGGAAAGGAAAAAATCCTTTAAGAGCAGAAACCTCGAGCGGAACCAGACTCATGATGAACAGCCGTCTGCTGAATCTGTGTTGGGTTTGGAAAGTGGGAGAGGGAGATGCAGAAGAGGATAGAAATAAAATTGGTTTTCTTTTGCATTTATTTTTTCCTCAGAAGAACACTCTATGGATGAAGAGCCGCTTTCACTGACCCAGAGGGTGAGTATGTCACATCACTCTGACTTCACACAGCGTCACTATTATAGAGTCCACCTCGAACATTTCAATTAAAGGTACAAAAACTAACGTTATTTATTTAATGCTGATAAAAAATATGATCCTTTAAGTAACATTGACCTGTTTTAATCAATATTTTCTCAAAGAGCTGATAAAGCAAAGTACACTGAATCAATAGCATTTATTTTCCCTTTATATCTCCACTAATCATATCTTCTTTAACTACTTACATTTAAGTATCACATGTTATATGATGTTATTTTCCTGAATATTTATTTATTTATTTTACTTAAAAAAAACATTAAAACATTTAAATATTCTATCTTCGAATCTGCATTGTTTTTAGCAGGCTAATGTTAGCACACTTTGGTTAACTCGTAGCTTCATACTGCACATAAATTGACAGAATGAAGGTGATCTAAAGACACTTAGGTGAAATCCACATAAGCAGTGAGTGTGTTGTTCTTCTTTTCTCTGAATAAACAGCATTTATTTTCCCTTTATATCTCCACTAATCATATCTTCTTTAACTCCTTACATTTAAGTATCACATGTTATATGATGTTATATTCCTGAATATTTATTTATTTATTTTACTTTAAAAAGAGATTAAAACATTTAAATCTTAGTTTATTTCTCTAAGCACTCAAAAGGAAGATCCAATTTAAAGGATGAATGTGCGACTTTCTTTATCCAGTAGATGTCGTCCTTGAGCACCAGCATTAAACCAAAACAAACTGCTGTTTGGCAACATCTCTGCCATTCTGAATCCTCTGCTCTCCTCCAGCAGCACACCTACGACACCTCTCCACTCGCCTCCCATGAAGGGGTTAGGAATTAGAACGCACCATAAAAAATGAATTAAATTCAAAAAATATTACTTGTCCCCGGGGGCAATTCAAAGCATTAACAACCACTAAGTGCAAGTGGCGGACAAACTTGTCCTTTGCTCGAGCTGCAGTTGCCTGTGGTCTGCATTGTTGTGTTAGCAAGCTAATGTTAGCACACTTTACTTAGCTCGTAGCTTCACATTAAACATAAATTGACACAGAATGACCGAGTTCTAAACACACTTACTTGAAATCCAAATAAGCAGTGAGTAAATTCTTCTTCTTTTCTCTCGACCTCGACTTAAACAGCTTTATGCACAAGGCCGTCCCGTCCATGTAAACATGATGTAAACACAACCCTGACAACAACACAGCCAGCAGGACTCGAGCTTCTCACTCATTGCAGACAGTCACAACTCAAACAGACATTTACAGGATATACTTGATTTCTGCTGTATTTATGTGTAAAATGTCACACATTCTTCCTTAAAAGGCTTAATATGCAATTTTTCACACTTAAATGTAGCAGAAATCAATCCTCTGAAAATAACTCTGTGAGTCATGACTGTCTACAATGGGTGTAACACCCGAGTCCCGCTGTCTGTGATGTTTTTTCCGAGTCCTATCTTCAGTTTGTTTACATCGCCGGGACGGCTGGCCGGCCGACTCATCCCCTCGCGTATAAAAGTTGTTTAATTGAGGGACTAGAGAAAAGAAGAATAACATACTGTACTCACTGCTTAACTACGTTTCTAGATCACGTAGGTAAATTTACATGCAGTGTGAAGATACGATCATAATAAAAATCGCTAGCATTAGCATGCTAACACAACAATGCAGCGCGAGTTGTTTTGGTTTCATGCTGGTGCTCAAAGGCGACATCTGCTGGATCAAAAAAAATCACATTTTCTGCCTTTAAAATACTAGCAAAATGAAATGTGTTACATTGACATACAAAGAAAGTGCACATACTACTATCAGCACAAAAAGATGATTTAAACATAGGTCCCTCCTGGGCTGGCCACCCCTTGCTCCGCCCCTTTAACAGACACTCTCTTGGAAGATTCATACAGTTATCTGATTTTCATTGCACAGATTTAGACACATGTACACCATGGAATTAGAATTGAACAAAAACTTAATAGAAAATTAAAGGTAGGACGCAGTGGTTAGTGCGAGCGCCCTATGTATGGAGGCTTTGGTCCTCCAAGTGGGCGACCCAGGTTCAAATCCGACCTGTGGCTCCTTTCCCTCATTCCCCACTCTCTCTCTCTCCCTGATTTCTGACTCTATCCACTGTCCTGTCTATCTATTAAAGGTACAAAAAGCCCAAAAATAAATCTTAAAAAAGAAAATCAAAGGTAACAACCGTATGTTACTCAATGCAGAAATATAAGCTGTTTGTAAAAAAAGTAAAGTACTTGAATGTAAACATAACTATAGTATGATAACCTCTGTTCATGTGGCAGATGTACGTTGGTCAGTCTTAAAAAAGACAATTGATGAAATGTGAAAAGAAATATCTGTACTCATTTTTTGCACCTTGAACATGTTCTTTTAATTTTTCAGGTGGAAAAGATGACATCTGTTATAGAACTGCTTGTGGAAATTATGGCTTGCCTAACAGAAAACCAGTATGAGGAATTCAAGCAGTTGATCAGAAATGAAGGCTACAAAACATGTATATCATACATCCCTCGTTTGCTGTGGCAGACAAACCATCAGGACACTGCGTGTGTTACAGTTTTGACTTTTGGTCAAAACTCTGTTGTGAAGACGATGAAGATTTTAAAGAAGATGAACAGAACTGATCTGGTGCAGAAGTTGTTGGAGACCAGCTCAAGTTTCAAAAGTATGACCATGAAGACCAAGATCATTTAAAATCATAAAACTGTCTCTCAACCTATTTCACAAGTGTTTAAGTTACATCTGTATCTGTTACAAGATTTATAATAAGATTCATAGTGCACAGATATTAAGACTTATCAGTTGGTTTACCAATATATCTTTTTGACTTATGTTGTACCTCACAAATCATTACTAAACTATTTGCCTGATAACATCTTTGTCATGTTTAAGATCAATCTCTCATGAGTTATTTTTTCCACTTTTTTCCTCAGAGAAACGCTCAGATGAACCACGCTCTGTCCTGTTGGAGAAAGTGAGTAATCACTTCACATCTGTCTGATTTACACATGAACATGAACATTTTGATGAAATTTGATTAATTTGAATTAATCTGTTTTTCACAAAGCTGAAGCTTTATTCAGGTTGAGCGTTTTAGCAGTAATGTTGTGCAGCAGATTCATAAATATCTTTGACAGTGCTTATGAGATGAAATGTCAGCACATAATCTTTTTCTGACTTTTTCCTTCAACAATAATCAATATAATAAAAAGAATATCTGTCAGAAACACCCAGCTCAACACCTTAAGAGACACATTTAAAATTGTCCTAGTTGATTAAGCAAATGTCCCATGAGTGTGTTAACTATTCCAGGCAGCAACAATGGCAGCTGTTAAAGAGTTGCTTTTGGAAATCCTGCATTCTTTAAATGATGGGGAGCTCAGAAATTCAAGAAGTTTCTGCTGTGGCCTTTCAAAAGGACTCCAAAACATCCCACATTTATTGAGACACTCAAACGAGCGTACAGCAATATTGGATGTGATGGTGCAGACCTACGGGCGACAGTCTGTGGATGAGACCAGAGAGATTTTAAAGAAGTTGCACAGATTTGATCTCATGCAGATGTTTTCAGAGACTAGCTCAGAACCCAAAGGTAAGACAAATAAGAACAAAACAAATCTTTGATAAATAAGATTAATACATTTGTTGAATTTGATTTCTTTAGGCTATGTTGTTGTTACCTTGTAAAGCAGCTGAACCTTATTAAAGTAGATCAACGTCTCATTAAATAATCGTCGTAGTCACAAATGTCTTTTCTCCTCAGTGGATGAGCATCAACCTCCAGTCTTTGAAAAAGTGAGTCCGTTTTTTACATTTCACAGCCTGATTTGTCTGATGCAGATTAAAAAACATCCAAGTTTTGAACATTGCAAATTATGATACAAACCAAAACAAATGGCTATAATTGGTTGTAAAGTTCAGCTCTGTAGTATTTGAGTTCTGTATTTCAGGTGTTTTAAAGGAAATGCTTCATGTTAAGTGCTGTGGAAGATTTCACATGTTGCATTAAATCGTGTAGTTGTATTCAGTTTAACAGAGATTTAAGGGTGAAGGGATAGAGGGGATCTTCTATGTTATGTTGCTACCACAAAATACAAACTTAAAAAAAAAAGTTTTTAAAAAACCTGTAAACATGCCAATAAAAATTTTACCTTTGTAATAATCTCGAGTGATCATGGAGAAAGTATTCGATAACTTCCCTACATCTCTGATTAAATCCCCAGAGATGTTCCTTTTTGATTTTACCATTGGAGAAATGACTAATTTGTTTATTGTCTTTGATTTTTAGACGGTAAAGGAAGATGTGGAACATGTTCTTTGGAAACATTGAGTGGTTTGAAACTTAGGAGTTTGAGAAATTTAAGTGGGTGCTGCAGCTCACATACTTCCAGAGGAGTTTTACACGAATCCAGTGCACGACATGAGTCGGCAACAACTCCAGATAAACTGGTGCATCTGATGGTGAGGAACCAGCAGCCTGTGGAGGTGACCAAAGAGGTTTTATTGGACATGAACAGGACTGATCGAGTTGAGAGGCTGATGGGGACAGACTCAGGACTTCAAGGTGAGAGAAAGAAAACAAACACTGCCACATTACACACATTTATGTTTAAAGATATTTGATATTTCACAATTACAACAAAAGTAACGAGATCACAAATAAATTATTTTGTTTACACAAGATAACAAACCTGTTTTACACCAGTGGGTTAATTATTCCAATCATATAAAAGTGGCGGAGTTAGCTTAATTTAACCAATCACAATCATCACTGCGTCTGCCGTCAGCAGATCGTTATATCCAACAAACTCTGAACTAAATTAAAAATAAGAAGTTCAAGACAAATGTAAAATCATACGGGACACATGAAGTGTTGGTCGGTCTCTCTCCCTCCTCCGCTCTCTCGATCAGCTGCGGGAGCTCCAAGATCAAGAGATCTGACTGTTCAGTGGCGGAGATTTTTAGGTGTGCAGCAGGTTAGGTGTGCAGCATAGGTTACCGTGGTGATATACCCAGGTTAGAAGTGAACCACCTTCGTAGGACTGAAAACCCAGGGTTAACCTTGAAGTTACCTCGCTAACCCCAAATCCTGCTTCGTAGTACAGACCTCTGGACTTTTCAGTTTAATGCCAGATTTATTCGTCTGCGTCTGCTAAATGAAATTGTAACATTAGCCACTGACCTTTGTTATGTCAAATAATAAAATATTGTATTTCTGATCTGAGGCTGACGTCAAGCATGGCCCTTTTTTTTGTGAAGATTTATTAACTTTTTATTTTTTATTTCTCTTCAGAGAAACATCAGCCTGAACTGCCTCATCAAGTGAGTAAAGTAAAATCAGAAACACATTAAACAACAAGGTTTCCATTATTTCATGTTTTCGTTACATGAACATAATTATTCTCATCTTGATAGTAAAGTGGTGGAAAGGTTTTCAGCTGCAGATGGTAGAAAGGGGACAAAAAAGTCTATGTTGTGATGATGTTACAAAAGAACACACTTAAGGATACTTTGTTTTTATAGAAATTGTTGGCGCCAAAATGTGGGTTTATGTTTTGCCCTTTAGTTCCTTTGGTATGTGTGTGTGTGTGTCCCTTTACTGGACACCGTGTGGAGCCTAGCTGATTCTGTGCTCCAGGTGATGGTAGCAGGTGAATGAATAGTTTCAACCCTGGAGCCTGTCAGAGGTGAGCCTGA